TCTGTCAACTTCGTCAACTATGTCGATCATTTAGATCACATGACTTAATTTTAGCACAGTCACGGATCACGGCTTCAACGGTCGACTCGGGTCAAGTATAAACGCCCTGACCGACGAGTTATTTTGAAATTAGGACTTGTGTCATAACAATGATAGTGAGTCGAGTCAACAACTCGGTCGACTCGATCGGCTACACTGCCAATCTCAATCTCACCAATCATATTGCATATTGCTTCGTATTATTTTTCTGATTAATCTAATAAATATTTTTATATGTATTTCATTTAAAAAATTGCATTTTTTAATTTTAAATATTTAAACAAAAAAAAATATATATATATTTCTTTATTTATAATGTAATCTACTTGTAAAAAGGGGATTTTAAAATAAAATAAAAAAAAGATTTTTAATAAATAAGTTTAAATTTAGTGTAATTAAATTTGTAAATACTGCACGAGTCAAATTATTTTGAAATCTACTTGTTCCTTCAACTAATAAGAGAGTGTGTGTTTAACAATAAAATTAGTTATGCCATTTAAATGTTGCTGAATAATTTTGCTATTGTTGCGTCCAGTTCTTTATGTTTATATTTACAACACAAACAAACGGGATTAATTAAAAATCCCGTTTCTCAGAATCCCGACAGTACATTTTCTCGACATCCTAATTCCCGAAATATCACTATCCCGAATTGTTATAATCCATTTCAAAGTAACGTGCTTTGTGATTCAGATGATATTCTGTTGATCTTTCCACTTGAATGATCATAATCATAATCAAATAATATATGGAAACATGAGGAAGGATAATAGTTTATTGATTCTGAACTCTAAATTTTTATTAGCTTAAGAGGAAATATAAGATGTTTATACAATTTAATTTATAATAAATGTGTCCCATATCATATATGTAATAAATATCATATCTTGGTCTCGTGATAACGCTCATTTATCGATATCACGTTCGTACTTGATATATACTGGTAGGAACATGCAGAATTATTATTGTTCTATCTTATTCAATTATTTGTAATTATTAAGCTAATACTGTAAGGTTGTTTACTTTAGCAAATACAACGAATGAACGAGCCCCCTATCACTGAAGAAATATCATGCATTAGAGACCTGCATTTAATTTTCCTGTTGGACATTAATCAATTTTGGAGTTAAAGTTTTTTTGAGATTAGATATTATTAAATTTCTTCAGTTTGAAGATACTTTCATAATCGTTTATAAGCTTCTTGCCAGTATCTTAAAGACATTTTAAGCAGTTTAAATGAAACGTTACAAAAAAATATTTTCATTTCTTCAGATGTGCTGCGAGGCACCAGGCTATTGCGGTGATATTTCTAGTCGAAAAGAGCACGTGACTTCGAATTTTTTTTTTTGAAGCCGATAAAATTTCATTAAGGAAACATATATTTATATTGATTCGATTACTTTTGACTTAGTTTATTGTTCTTATTCCTGTAAGTTAAAATCTTTGCATGCATTTTCAGTAAATTTTGTATCATTCAATAAAATTTATATATTGTTTTTTTTTTAAAAAAAAAAAAGATTCCATTGCAACTACCTTATAATCTCAAACAGAAACTGTATTAAAGCATTTATTTTTTTGTCTTATAAAGTCTCTGAGCGTAAGGGTAACATTGGAGAATGACATCACAAATCAATTATTATTATGTTTTCGATACTGTGCCTCGACGATGGTTTATACCTTTAGTGTTTCTAAATATGAATGACATAGGAAATGTATTTAACTGTTAATCTTGTAAATATTTTGATGATTGCAATGGACATTTCCAGTCGTCGATTTGTTTTAATTTTTAATAAGGAATCGCCTTGGGCTATGTGGAACTGGAAACGAGAATGAGAAAATTTATGGCATCTAGAGACGTTGGTCAAACGGAACGTTCCCATTTGCAAAAATATTGGAATTGTACAGTATTGTTGTATTCAGTTCTTTCGTTTATGTATTTATAAACAATTTGTAATGTCAGCAGAAGGTTTAATTGAATAATAATTGAATAAAAATGAAGTAATATTGACAAAGAATTTATTTAATATGATCAAATTATTCAGTGTTGCCTCAACGTCGGCGCTCTACACTTTTGCTATATCAATATATTAAACTAAGTAAATGCCAACTAATTAATTGAAACTACGCAATTACGAAACTGTTACATAAAAATTGTATAATAAATTGCTAATAAAATCGGAAATTAAAAATAAAACAATCAACTGTGTTACAAAATGCGAAATTATAAAATTTAAAGGGCGAAAAATCGAAATTATCGCGAAGGTGTAAAGGGAAGATAGCGAAGGGAATGATTTTCAAAGAAATATGCTAAAGGCGAGCATGGGATATTGAGCTTTTTTAGGATTTCCGGTTTGTATTTATAAAAGATCTTTAATTAAGCCATCTTGGCATTTTGACCATTTGTCATACTGGCACCTTGACAAACTGGCGCCGTGTCATTCTGGCAAATGATCGTCAAAGGGACTAACTGTAATTATCAAGAGCGATCTTCGAGAGAATTTATGAAGATTTCGGCCGGAATTTGCATTTAATTGTAACAGTATAATTAACATCTTAAATTCACCCGTGTACTAGTGTATTAATTAGTGAGGAAAATCTCCCTATTTTAACAGCGTGTAACGTTTTAGAGTATAAATGATGTACGAGAATATGTAGTACACCATTAAACAGAACCAATCATGTTATTTAAAGCAACAATCATTTTAAAAAAAGGTTGACATTGTTTGAGATTTCATGTTTCTTTTTTTTTAACTTTTTTTTTATTTCGCCTAACATTAAATTTCAGCATTAAAGAAACATAAAATAAATTAATCAAATGGTCGAAAAATTTCCATTAGAACTATTGAATGAATTATTCAACCTGATTGGAAACGATTACAAAACACTTTATTCGTGTATTTTCGTTAACAAATTATGGTATGAAACTTTCGTTCCAACACTATGGAGAAATCCATTACAATCCATGCATAATATCAAGATATTAATTAATTGCTTGTTGGTAGAAGATAATGACTTTGTGAACCAAAAAAATATTAAATTGCCCTCTCATTATTTGCTCGAAAAACCTCCTTTACTTAATTACGCCAGATTTGTCACCATTTTAAACCTAAAGATGACTAAATCACTCAATCAGTTAATGCGTCTCAAGTACAAGGATGAAACCTTAAAAGATAGATTTGTAAGGTTCATCATGAGTCATTCTTCCATTGAATACCTCAACACATCACTTCTTAAAGCCAAATCAATAATTAATGATCCCAATTTTAACGATTGTTTTCGGAACCTTAAAGAACTTGAAACTGCTGACGATTATAGTTCAAGTATATTTAAAGAATTAACCAAAGTCTGCGATAAAATTCAAGTGTTTAGATTACATTACAAAAATGTTAAGAATGATAATGGTATATTGGCAAAGTTAATTGAAGTGCAAAATAAGGTCAAAAAAGTGTACATTTATTTATCCAAAACATGTAAATTCGAGAAATTGGAATTGGTGGATGCAATATCAAGTCACTCTAAATCGATAGTTGAATATCATAGCACTGGATTTACTGAGATGGATTTATCAATATTAAGATTTCAAAATTTGGTAACATTACACTTGGAGAATATTAAAGTGAATGAAATTGATTTACCAGAACAAATCAAGTCTACTTTATTCCCAAACCTTCAAAAGTTTACGATTAAAGATTTTCATGGGAATTCGTTTTTAAATATTTCAAATTTTGTTGAAATTAATGGAATGGGTCTTACATATTTAGAGATTGGTGGGAATCCATTTGATGAGGATAACCTGAAGATACTCCTTCTGTCAATTGGACGAAATTGTAAAAATTTGGAGAGTTTAACAACATTTTATGACGATCATATGGAACATGCAATTGGTGAAATACTTTATAATTGTAATTATTTGAGAAAAATCTATCTAAGATTAATTGAAGGGGTACTCATCTATGTTGATGATTTAATCCATCCTTTGAGCCATTCAAAAAGTCTAATAAGCATTAAATTTGGAAATTATATTAGAATTTCTGATGCTGCATTATCTTATTTGAATGAAATCTGGTTAGGTCCAAAACCTCTGTTGTTAAGTTATAGTAATTACAAACAATGCTTTTTAGGAGAATCACCATTTTCTAGATTGAAAAGATATGAAGAAATGGGACTTTTGAAATTTGAAATTACAGATGAGGAACCTGTTAATGATGTTTTTGATCCGTATCATCATCTTGATTACTTTTATTATGAAGATAATCAGGATTAAATAATTTAAATTTGAAATTATAAATCATTTATTATAGTCAAGTCAAAAGATCATTTAAATTACGCTCTTTAGTTTAATATTGACTTCAAAATCTCCATATTAGCGAAAATGTTTATGAACATTTTATCTACGCCATGTTATTTATGTTTGTCACACAATTGGGTTAAATTTGGTTTTTTGATACCAGGAAAATTAATCCAATGACCAATCATATCTAGAAAGAAGAAAAAAAAGATAGTCAATAAAATCTTTATTTGTATTACATTAATAACAATCATAATTTTTGGTATTTTGTAATAATAAAGTCAAATATGATTAACCCGAGTTACTTAAAAAAATGCGAATCTGGGATGTGTCAAATATTAAATCTCAAAAATCTAAAACTAAATTCTTGCGTAAAATGCACTAGGTATTTTGTTTTAACTAAAGTATTTGCATTTAAAAATACTTGCAATATTTTGACATACCGAATATATAGAAAAAAAGTAGGTCAATAGATTAAGATGAAAGAATAGTAAGACGGTTCATTTTCTATTATTTATCGTTATAATTTTTTGAGCCTAATATTTAATGATTCAATCATTGTGAGTAGCCTTGGATTTTTGTTGTACGCTCCTACGATAGAAATGGGTGACAATGTTAGGCAACACCGTTGTTAATCTTCAAATATTTCTTCTTTTTAGAGTTACGTCATAGAGCCTAGACCATATTGTACTTTGCTACTCTCCGGACCTATACATTAGATTAAAACAGCCCTTCTTTAATAAGCAGTGACATTTCATGTTAATTTTAAATCACTATTCTTATTACATAAATCCTTTTTACTTTCTACTTACAAAGACTTGTTATTTTAAAATCAATATACAACTTTAGCGGTAATTTTCATAGAGATATTAATTATTCTATTAAATCGTATAAAGATTTATTAATGCGATGTAAAAAATAAAGTGACTATTTTTATCCGTATTTCTTACTGAAATACCTAAATAGATGTTATCGATAAAAGAAAGCTGTAAATAAAGTTTCCTCAAGAGAAGATAAAATGGCTACAAGATTAAAATGTAGTTTAACGAAATTTAATTGTGGTTGTTTTTACAAATCAATAAAAAATAAAATAAATAAAATAAGTAATAAATCAAATGGATGGGCAAAACATTTTGGACTTCACAAACTTCAATTTCACTTTAATTAAACCAAAAATTGTTCGGAATTAAATGAAATATACTGTCGCATCTGAATGTTGGTCAGATGTTTTGGATGATATTTTCAATGCGGTTGAACCGAGAATGGTCTAACGAGTAGAAAGAATTATAGAAGGATGATTGGCTCATCTATAATTTCAAAATATTCTCCAGTGACATTTCGTCTGATGCTCATCCGAACATTTGCAAAATCTTTATAGTGGCAAAAATGAACTACCTACATTACCCTCTCGTGTAACGCACCACAGGCCAGTTGCTACAGAATCCTCCCGTGAAAAATGTACGACCCAAACTTCTAGGGGATGATTCTAATGCTTGCTCAAAAGTTTTTAAGTTTCGGGATTGATCCTGTTGCCAATATTTCGGAGGGGTGAGGCTCATTGTTTGTTTGATAACCAGATCATTATATCAATGGTGATATTCTCCATGAGCTAGCCTTGCTTTTTCATCGGCAATGGTTTAATGTTGTCAATGTTATGTCTCTTTCCTAATACATCACTAGGTGACGGTGATGATTGTATGATGATGTGGCATCACTTTATTCCATAAGACCTGAACGATCTTAACGTCATCTTATGAAAAGCAAATTCATGCAAAATTGATTCTGTCTTTACCGAAAAAATTGCCACTAGAAAATTCATAAAGCCTACAAATACCAGTTAGTAAACGCATCCATTTCAGTACTTGCAAGGATAATGTTATCCCATCCCATTGAACCGAACTGTTTAAATACAAGCATCTGGAGATGCACCATCTGTTTAAATTTGTTATCCTAATATACTTACTTTTTTATTGTTTATAAGATGTACAACGAATTTCATCAGGCATGTGAGTATCGTTGTCAAAGGCATATAGGATTACAAAAGTATGATGGGATCTAATTTTGTCAACATTTACATAGTTATCAATAAGTGGAGAGAGGCCCACTTTTCGCAGTGAAAGAACTCGAAGTATTTTTCGTATGGAATGTCTTCAATTTCTCGTTGATAAGCAATAGAGAGGTAGATATGGGAGTGTTTCTAGGAAAATCAGATTCCGAGAAATTTTTGACTAAAAATTAAGAGCTTAATACATTTTAATCTAAAAACACCAAAAACTAAAATGCAATAAAAATCTCAATTTCGCTAAAATATTCCCGGAACCTGATTTTCCTAGCAATCAACCCATACGACGTTCAGTATTAGAAAATACAATTTAAAAATATTTACATCGTTATTCACAGGAACTTCTTATATATAAGAACCTAATTAAACTTTTGGGGATACGAAATCCCGACTAGTATAAAATCCCGACATCAAAAAATTATTGCTGCGTGACATTAGTTAATCTGATTGTCATAAAATAACGAAACAAATAAACTTTTTTTTTGTTTCATTTTCTTTGGAATTTTTTTTTCGTTGTAACTTTACTTTTTTATATTTTAATCATAAAAACTTTTAAAGTATGGAGAAATATGCAATTAATTTGCAAAGATGTTACAAAATTAAATAAAAAATTATCCAAAATTTAAATAAAATTTTATTATTTTGTTAACTTTGTACAAATAAATAATAATATTTAATACTTCGTTAAATTGAATTGTATAATCATCACTTTCTAAGATATTATTAAGTGCCGGAATTTTATACTAGTCGGGATTTTGACATTCGGGATTATGGCACTCGGGAGTATGGATTTTTAGACGACACCAACTTTTGATGCAGACGCGTTGCATATCGTTGGTTAAGAAAGTAGGGTATATCACTAATAAGGTTTCCGGGAAATCCCGGAGGTTTCGACAGGCATCGAAATGAAAACCCGTCAAAACCCATCGATATTGAAAGGACTTTGCCAATAACTAACTAATTTATCGATTCCATTTTTAAAGTAATAGATTAGGGATTTAACCCGATATATTCATACGACAATAATGGCTTTCCTCCGAAGTTTTTATCTAAGTAGCTTTTTTAAAATGTTTTTTCTTTACAAACAATGTCATTATAAAAAATAGACAATATTATAAAATAGTTTAAAGAAATTTATATCATCTGAAAATTTTATTAATAATAAAAAATCGGATCGTAACAATCTAAAAAAGAATGTATTTGACATTAAACAGTTGCTTTAACTTTCGATTCTCTAAGATACTCCACAAGATATATTCATTAGCTCAAAGTATAACCAAATTAAATGAAGTTTTCATATGTTAGGAATTGTTATATATATCATTATATACCGGTCTTTTTAGGAATTTGTCTTCTGTTACATTTGATGGATGGTTAATCCAAAAAGTTTAATTCAAAATGAGATCAACCTATATAATCTGGTAAAGTTGTCAAATTTTGCACAATGATTAAATTATTTATTCAGTAACCACGTATTTAGTATAAATATTCCATTAATACATTATCATCAAAAATTAAATACATGGCTAATTATTAATTTCTAAATCTCTTCTTTAGGATATTTACACGAATAATTTTCGAAGATTTTGAAGCTTTATAATTTGAATAAAATTCGTTGATACCACAAGAAAATGATAATAATCTATTTATCATTCAGGTCCACCCAAAATAATTCTTTGAAACTCGTTAAAACAATAAATGATTTATTATTATAAATATTAATCATGAAATGATGTTTTAAGAATTGAGTAGAAAGTAATTCTATGAATGATCCAACTTTCATAAGTAAATAAGGTCGCTTTGCAATTTATTTTTCTTTTTTTTCCCTTGATGATTTCATGTCACGGTAAGGTTTTTATTATTTTTACTCACTAAATATTTAAAATTTTTTTTAAGCAATTTCTTTCAAGCTGGATAATACATTTGTATGGTTCTTCTTTCAGGTGATTTCTTTCGGGTAAGATTACTGCAGGCCATAGCAATTTTACGATTTTCATTATTCTCATATTTTTAGGAACGTCTTTTGGGTTGGAGCGACAATTCTTTAACTTTCAAATTTTGTTGGCTGGCGAGTGTTCTTTTTAAGTTCATTCGATTATATTTTTTAATTATTTTTGGGTCAATCACTTCGGATTGTTAGCCATCTAATATTTTTATATTTCCCGTTATTATTGTTGAGTTACGCCTCAGGCACTCAGCACACTCTAAACGTTAGTTGATTATGACAAAAACAAATCAATCCGGAATCGCCGGTTTAAATCGTCCAGTATCAATTTATTGCATAAGTAATTTGATTTCTACCTAAATTTTCATACTTTATTGCAAGTTTAACGTTCGCATATCTTTTATGAAGAGTAAAAAAGTGATTAATCAACTTACTTTGATATTGTAAATTTTTTATAATTTTTGGTAGCTATTAATATTTGGAAAGTTTGTTGTTAAAATCGAGTTACGGATCTTTTGATTTCTATGTTCGTAATTCGATTTTAGTAAATAGCAAACCTCCAATTCTTTTTTTTTTTTTTTTTTAAAAAAAACCCCTTAAAGGTTTTAGCTTCAGTTAGTAGTAGGTTGCAGTATTAAGTACTATTTTCATTATTTTTTTAAACCAAAATTGTGAATAAAATGAAACATTGCATTATTTAGCGAATGAAAACTACTGACTGAACACTAATTTTTGTAAATTTGAATTCGCCATAGCTGAAAAATCATTAAGTTACTTTCGGGAGTTGTTCTAAGACGCTTTCTGCGCGCAGCAATTAAATGCGTCATTTCTTTTTTCATCTCTTCCTTGAGAATTTTTTATTGCATTATCATCACAAATTAATTTCCAATGATTTGCTCCAGGACATGCAGAAATGATCATTAAATAAACAGAGCCATTTCTGTTTTACCCTTCAAGATTTATTATTATTAAGTCGAGTCGAATCCAATCAAATAACAACGTTAATATCGTAAATTTTATTTTAGTTTTTATCTTGTCTTGATATATAACTTATCAGAAAATCTGCGATATTTAATAAAGTATTTCGAATATGTTTCACGTTTCCTTATGCTTCTTATTAAGTTTCTCATTTTAAAAGAAATGTTAATACAACATCTTCAATATAAATGAATAAATTTATATTCATTAATTTTTTCGTCAAAGTTTGCAAAATCATGCTTTTATGATTGCCAATGAGAGTATTTATTAATTTTATACTTATTTCAGTAGACATTTATTTTTAATTAAACTTCACTATTTAAAATTTGAAAAACTTCATATTCTTCTATTAAAAAGTTTTCTTTTGTATCTCTTATCTCATGTTCATATCCAGATTTAAAACAGGAATTATACTCAATACACAAAGTAAGATCCCTATTAAATGTAGGACCATAATAATGATGATAATATACTGCAGCCCCTTCTCTAAGTACACGACTTAAAATTGGATCCTTATTATTAAAAGAAAATATAAAACTATCTTTGGTTTTACCACAAACACCATTAAAAGTAGAGTTCCATATTAAAGGATTATATCCTCCAAGAATTTCATCAGTTTCCTTTACTTTAATGAATGTAACCGTACGAATTTTATTATCACATAAACTGTGAAAAATATCAGGAGTAAATCCATCTCGGCTTCCTCGTAATAATAATTTAAATTTATATGGTAAATATAATTCTCTAAAGTAATCAAATTTGCTTTTAATTTCTATTTTATCAATCCACCTTGAAACTATGTAAACAATATTCACATTAACAATTCTCGTGTCAATAATTTCGTCAACGTTTCTAAATCTAGGAAGTAAAATGTCGTCACTAGGTTTACTATTAGGATCCAAGTAAGAATTTAATAAATCTTCATAAAGTTGATGATTCAAAAGCTTTTTATATGGATGAACTTTTTTAACGAATTCTTCGGAGGATAGAGTAAAAAATCTAATCAAGGGTAAACAATGTTGTAAAGTATTTTCCATTATTTTGAAATCATTATCTGACCAAGTAATAGGTTCCGGATTAAGCATAGGGTTATTTTTAAGACCCCATCTTAACACATTTTCCCAAAGCTCAACTTCTTTCACCTGCAGATCGTTTCTTTTAATAAGTGAAATTAAAGATTTTTCAGAAAGTGAAGTAAAATCAAGAGACTTGAATATTTTCTCAGGAGACTTTGTCATGAGATCAGTACAAAATTGTTGAAGTTTCGATAAAGAATTAGATTGAAAGCTTGTTTGATTAACAAGCTCAAAATGTTGTTCCATCCATTCTGACCTATCATCTATTAAATATTTTTGCAAATAATCAACTAGTTCTTGAAGGAGAAGGTGATTAGCAGCATTTAAAACTTTAAAAATGTCCAAAGTTTCACGCTCCAATGAAATAATTCCACCATAAATATATCTATAAAATAAGATTAATGTAAATTTAGGATACAAAAGATAATAACATAGTTTATGAGCTCAACTTACCTTAAGATAATTTGAAAGGTGTCTGGTAAAATATTTGGCAACTTGATATGAGTTATAGCGGTGTCATTAACCTTTTTATTGGAAGAAAATGTTCGTCGTAAAAATGGAGAACGGTAACTCAAAACAATCATGTGTACACGGAATATTTTCACATTTGGATCCTCTCCAACTTCGATTGTAGTATCATAAAGTTCATCATCATCTAACAACGAAATAAAATTTTGACTTAATAAAGGAAAAAATTGCGCAGACATTTTTGTTTGTGAGAGAGTTTTGTGGGGAAAACATTTGCAAATCTGTTCAAATTTAGCTAATATATTGTATGTATGTCGTCGATCATCTGTAATAATGAGGTGATGACCACCCCTTTTTTATTTCCGGTGAAATCCTATTTTCGACCTAAAAATCAATTAAAATGTTTTGTCAACTCCTTTAGTTTGAAGTTTTTGTTAAATTATTATGTGGTGAATCCAAAATTTTAATCTATTATTAAATTATAAACATTTATTAAAGATGATATTTCATTCTACATTTCAAGAATATCATTTTCCACCTTCAGAATTTACTTGTAATTCAAATCTTTACCCCCGAATTTTATCAGAATAGAATCACTAAGCATAAATATCAAAGAAATGTCTCCAAGTGAGTAGTAGAATTGATTTCTGTTCAGGAAAAAATAAACTTATTTGAAAGTACTTTACAATTGTCATAATGTACGTTCCCATTAATAAAGCTTCATAATATTATAACCGGATTACACTAATAACGATGGGACAAAATATATCACAAATCGAAAATAACCTCTTTGCAATATTTTCATTTCGCCTTTTGGGACTATAACACACTAACCAGTTTAATATCTAGAATAAAATACTATAACTGTACTTAAGCGATATTTCTCGTCTGGTAAACTTAAAGTTCATACTAGAAATTGTTTTTTTGATAAATGTCAGCTGATTGGCAAGGTTGTGTCACGAAAAATTTTCGATTATGGCTTATAATAACGCTAACGATATTGAAATACGCCAATTTTCCAAATGAAGGTCCTTCCGTTCGCAAAAAATACTATACATTGACATGGTAGATTAAATTCAAGTTATAAACTCAATGAGTCAAGTTATTCATAACGTATTTAATTTCTAGAATGATCGAAGCCTCTAAACAAACAAATAATGCGCCCTCATTAAGAAAATGAATGTCGGATGTTATCCGCCACAGCATGCATGTTATATTTTTAAAAAAAATCATTGCTACCTTCGAAGTCGGAGGAAGCCACAAAGCAACTGGGCTATGCGATGTGATAGGCTTTTAATGATGGGCTTGTAATACGGAATGAGATTAGTTTGTAACATTCCTTTGAAGACTTTTATTGTAATGAAATTTTTGTGCTATGTTATGATACAGATCCATATCTCTTTGAAAGTGTATTTAACAACGGCGAATACCTCGATTAAATTCTTTACTAGTTTCCAAACGAACAAAAATTTTGGTAGAAAACTCTCTCAACTTCACGATGAATAAGAAACTTTTCTTGTATCTTGGGTTGTTTGCAGTCGCGATTCCTTCGGTAGTTTTAGCTCAATTAACTTGTGAAGAACTTTTTAACCTAACCCAGTGCAACACTTGTCAAAAATCGTTATATGATCAAGGAGCCTTGTCTTTTTATACTGGCGTTACACCACCATCTCAATGTCCATCAAACATTGTCTATGGCAACTTTCTTCTTGAAGAGTATAAAAATGCTGGTTATGACGTTTCGCACGTGTTCAACTACTCCACATTCGATACCACACCGTTTAAGCCGTCTTTGGACAAATATTGCGCGTTGGAGTACACTTGTGACCAAACAGAAGTTGATCAAGCCATGGAAAAAATCAAGACGGATTGTGCTACCGAATTGTCTACACCTTTGGATTTAACCGCCAATCCTAAAACCATTGAATTTAATACGTTGCTAGCTTACGCTACATTTCTAGCTTATTACGGTGGTATTCCCTCTCACGAATCGATTTGTCTCTTAAACGATCAAGGAGGTGCGTAAAATAACTTTTTAAATATAATTTAATTTCATCGTAACGCTTAACAAATTTTCTTATCATTATATTTGACAATTTCATGTGACAGAATATTGTTACTACAAAATCGCTGAAACTTATTTCGAATACATCAAGAAAGAAAGTAACGGAGATACAAACGTTACCATTTCACTTGATGGAAAAATCTTATTCCTTTCCGATGGAACTACGAAAGAAATACCAAAGGATTTGAATTGCGGTGAATGTTGGACTAAAATTGCAAATATTTTCTTAACCTACTTTGAAGAACATAAATTAGATGAACAACTTGAAAAGAATATTTTCGGCAGTTATGATGAAATGAAACAAGAACTTCAAGCTAAATGTGAGGATAGCTCTAATGCTGAAGGAATTGATGTTTTAGAAGAAGTTGATTTGAAGAGAAGTGTTAGAGCCAGAGCTAAAAGAAATGCAAGGACAATCAAGAGAGGCGGTGGTTCTGTCACACGTTCACTCATTAGCTTCCTCAGAGGATGATAGGATATGCCCATGCTTATAAATATTGAATAGATAAAATTTTTAAAGGAATGAATAGATAACTTATTATATCTACTAACGTTCATATTATAGATTTAACATAAAACTATTCGATTTTTGACCTTATATTTAAAACTTATCATCAATAATTTATGGAAGAAATTTCGCAATCACGTTAGAACCGCGTATCAGTTTTTAATAATATGATTAGAACATTTTTTAAAATTTTAGGATCCTTATTTTACCTTATTTAATCATAAGTTTCGAACTCATACGTTAATAACTTCATTTTTATGTACGAAAGATTTTAATTAGTCAACGTCACCGATCGACTTAAAAATTCTGAATGAAATTTTGAAGCACCACTCTATTCAACATCTTAACACCTAATATTTCCTGGATTAAAAAATAAAAATAATTTCATGAACTTTTGATTACCGAATTATGAAATAAATTATTTAATAAGCTAATTTTGTATTAATGAATAAATCGATAATGTACACTTAAACCAAATTAATTTTGTTTCTCTGTTAAAATTAATAAAAAGAATATTGCAAAATTGCGAACATTTCGTACTTAATCTATGTATTTAATAGTTATGATATGGTTTCGGTTAAAAAATTATTTCCCACAAAGAAATTAGTGTTGATAATATAATTTTACTATTAAAAATGAGGCGCATTTATTAGTTAGTAAACGAAAATGAATAGTTCGATTATAATACGAAGTCTATATTACAAAGTTCAAACACTAATGAGAAAATCAAATATGGGCATTACTAAATAATAAAAAGCAACAACGTAATGGAAGAATTCCTAAAAAAAAATCCTTATAATAAGACATGAACGTTGTACAGCAGCTAAATACAGATTAAGCAAAAGAAAACATAACCAAGAAAAAAATATCGATTATTTACTAAAGATAAAACCTAATAAACAAGGGTAATCGACTAACTAGATCAAAAATAAAGATCGTAACTTTTCATTTCTATTATCATGATCTTCTAATATGTCAATTAACGAACTTTCTTCTGCACTACCAATCATAACTTCTAAGTCGCACGAAAAAAACACTAGCATTTCCTTAAGCCAACTTTTAATTCCCGATATTTATTATACATGCGTATATGCTTTCAAGGGACAAATTAAGTTCAGAAGCTGCCGGTATTGCTCCTAACACAACTTCGAAACTTGTAACTACCTACATAACAAATAAAGAAAAAATATTCATTAAAATTAACGTCGAGATGTTTATTTTTCCAACCCCAATGAAAAATAATCTTTTACTTCCACAACAAACGATATTAGTTTATTCCTCAAGATTTCTTGTCATGCTAAATATAGGTGTTATTGTTTATTAATTAAATAAATGAATAAATGAAAAATAAAATTAGCGGATTAACTGGAAATTCATAAGTATCATATTTTAAATCGCTTATCATTTTTTGTAATACTTGATAAATATCTTTCAAAAAGACAAATAACGTTGTTTTCTTTTAGATTTGCTGTAAAATTCACATATGCAATCAATTGCATCGACAACTCCAACAATGACTACAATTAATTTAGCAATATTTTCTTCCCGCATTTGAATATAAAAACGTTAAATCCTTCTAATTACATGAAGACATTTTGCTCAACAAGCGAGTAGAAAGGATTGAATAATTTCCATAATTGCCGATGTTTTGATGTAACCTATTATATAAATTACTTTCTCTGCTATAGAATTAAAAAAAAAGTGCATAACATCAGGAATCTATGAATAAATGATAAGCATCCAAATTTTTACTTTTAACGTTAGCCTTTCCAGATAGACAACTGATTTAGGGCGTTCTCGAGCACCTAACTCAATGGATCGGGAAATGAAATTTTAATTAGTCGGAGATTGATTTTGCAGTTCAATAGAGTTACCATTTCGATGAATAAAATATGCAGGCCCAAACCATCTTTTTTTTTCATAGAGATACGCTGATTGGCTAAATTTACCGTTGATGGAGTATAAAAGAGATCGTTCAAGCATTTTTCTTCATTTTTGGTTGAGTAGTAGCTCTATTATTGTTTTGTTCATTATAAACTTTCGATGAAGAGAGGCTGCTCAAGTATTATTGCGATCCTTATTTAAATTGATCATGGTGGATTAACATCATTAAGGGAGATGCTTGAGAACGCCCTAAATCAGGTGATTCAATTCTGGTTGATTTATTATATTTAAAAATTAGAATTCATATTAAATGTACAGCGAATTTAGTAATAATAATTTCTGCACGATAAATTTATTTGTTGCTATTGAATTTATAAGTCATATCACTAATTCTAGTAATCCAAGTACGTTTTATTTTTGATATTTCAGCCTTTGACAAACGAATCTTTTTATTTCATACGATTGCATTTTATTTTTTTAAAAAAAATGATATGTTGTATAATGTTCAGCAGGTTAATTTTGGGAATTTTTATGCATTGGGTAGAGACATGCAACGGTCAAAGTACCAGCCCGGATTTTTATAATTCTGGCAAAAGTTAATTGAGCCGAAATATGTTCATTGATCCTATCATTTTTAATTTTATCGCGCGTTACATTATTGAAATATTTTTTTTTTTAAAAAAAAAAAAAAGGAAATAAATGTCAAATTTAATCAAAAAAAGGAGTATTAAATGTCAAGAAAATAAAGTATTTAATGAAATTATTTGATACACAAGAGCAAGCAACAATGGATAGTATAGTTAATCTTATAGTTACATAATGCTTAATAATATCAAACAATTTGTAAAGTTGATTTATATGTTAAAATATTAATTATGTATCAAAAAAGTAATCTAAACTACTACCGATCCCATCAAACTGAAAGATCAATTATACTCATTAAATTTAAATATAATCGTTGAATCCCTTTCGAAAAAAAAAATTCTTATTCGTTTCAATATAAACTGTTCAAGGAATTCCTAAACCTTTTACATTACAAATGTAAGTAAATATATTCCTTCGAATTATTAGATAATAAGATATTACAATTATTATTTGAAATTATATAATCAAATGCTTTTGTCTTGTATCCTAAAAAAAATTAATTAATTATAATTTTAAATTTTAAACATACAAATTTACCATTAATTTAATCTTCAGATAAGTAGTTCCTCTTAGAATTTTTAGAATTTTTATAATATTCGATCAAATTATCATTTTATCTTAAAAGTAATTGATAAGAATATTTGATAAACCAGTAATGCAGAAAAAGAGAATAGAATTCTATGTAATAGATTGAGTTCATCTCAAACTCTAATTGGCATTTGACATTGCAGAACTAATCATATTACTTAATGGCCTAATTGTGTAAACTTGAATCAACCCACAAGCTTGAAAGTTTTGCAGTGTAAGGTAAAAATAATTGACGTTCAAAAATTTGTCACAAGTATGTCCCGCGTGTATAACATCCGCAGGTGGTGCAACGAATTACTAGGCTAACAGGAACTGTTATGTGTCCGGAGCTAAAATATAATTATTAATGCAATAAGAAAGAGAAAAAAAAGTCTAATTGACAAAAATCACGTGCCGGAAAGACGGACATGTCGATCTAAAAGGTCGAGCTTCTTAACCTAAGGTGTGGGTTGTAGACCTTTATCTTAAACTGGGGTGTAGATCGCTCCGGACTCAACAATGGTTCCCGTTTCCTAGTATTCTAGTAGTAAAAGATATAGCAAAATGTAAATTATGTATTTAAGTTATTTTTGCTCAATAAATAATCATTTTTACAAAAATAATGAATCATATGTTTTATTATGAATAAATCTTCTAAAATAAAAAAAAAAGATTGCGAGAAATATTTTCTTCACATTTTTTCTTTTACACCGCACTAAATACTGCTAAATACTGCAAAATTCGTTTTAAGTTGAGTATCTTTTTTGTTATATTTTTCTTTGAAAACATCGCGAAAATTTAAGATATATGTTACACAAACAAATTACGCCAATGAAACTTAATCGTACACCCCGGTTTAGGATAAAGGTCTACACCCCCACCCCAGGTTAAGGATGCCCCGGAAAAATTCTCAAAAAGAAGCCTTGAAAAGCCTTTTTAACTCTTTCCATTTTTATAATTTTTGTAATAAATGAATAAATCGGAATTTTTGCTGTATAATGGAGTAAAATGGAATTTTTTGAATTTTTGATAAATTTTTTATGACACGTGACAATTAATCAATGATAATCACAGATCAGCGGAAAAAATTAATTTAAAATCTTTCGAGTAGAAGGATTATGTATCCAATAATTGTTACAAAGATAATGGAAGAAAATTTAAATTTTTGCATGATTTCCATTCTTTTTTTTCCTTCAATTATTCGTAATAATAAATGTCAATTTTTTTACCCTTTAAAATTTTTGATCAAAATGCCACCTTCTATTACAGTTACTGTTACATCGCGTGTGTGAGAATTTTTTGAAGATTTTTTTGCGGATAATGGAAAACTTATGTGTCATTTTTGTGATCATAATATTAATTTTCAAACAAAAAATACAATTACTTCTCATATAGGTTTTAAAACACACCTTCGTAATAAAAAAAAAATGAACAACAAATAAAAAAAGACAACCAACTATTCAAACTATTATTGATGCATCTGAAATAAAAAACTATTATATATAATTTAGTAGATGCATTTGTAAAGGCTGATATTCTGTTAGAAAAGGTAGATAAACTTCAAAGTTGGCTGTGTAAAAATTGTAATGAAGGAGGATTTATTCCAAAATCAGATACTTTGCGTCACAAATATTTATCAAAATTATTTAAAAATCATATTAATCAACTTAAAGAATATTTTCATAATAAACGAGTTTCAATTATTATAGATGAAATTACAGATAGTAGAGCATGAAGTGTGGTTAATATTCTTTTTAGCTATAATAGTGCAACAAAATTAATTCATGTTGATTATTTAGAAAATGTTAACAATTGTACAATTGGACAACTTATAATTCAAATTTTAGTTCGATGGGAAATTTCTTTTG